GATTTGTTGGAAAATGATAATAAAAATCTTATTCCTTCAAGTATTTAACCACCTCAACTTGAACTGAAAGTATTACCTACCCATTTAAAATATGTGTTTTTAGGAGATTCATCTATATTTCTTGTTATTATATCTTTGAGTTAACTGAAATTCAAGAACAAAAATTACTTTTGGATGGACTTTGCAGATATAAAAGGAATTAGTCCTTCAATTTGTATGCATATAATTTTATTAGATGATCAAAATAAACCTAAAGCTGATCCACAGAGGAGATTAAACCCAATAATGAAAGAAGTTGTTAAAAAAGAAATCTTAAAATGGTTAGATGCTGGAATTATATATCCTATTTTGGATAGTGGTTGGGTGAGTCCAATTCACTTTGTTCCAAAGAAATGAGGAGTGACCGTTGAAATAAATGAGAAAAATGAGTTACTTCCAATAAGACAAGTTGCTGGTTGGCGAATTTGTATAGACTATAGAAAATTAAACATGGCCACCAGGAAAGATCACTTTCTTTTACCCTTTCTAGTCTAAATGTTGGATAGATTGACTAGAAATAAATATTACTGTTTTTTAGATGGATATATTGGGTATCATCAAATTTTAATTGCTATTGAGGATCAAGAGAAAACAACATTTACAAGCCCTTATGGAACATTTACTTTTTGTATAATGTCTTTTGGACTATGCAATGCACCTGTGACATTTCAAAGATGTATGTTGTCAATTTTTAATAATTTGATTGAATGTGGAAGAGAAGTATTTATGGATGATTTCTCTGTATTCAGGACTTCATTTGAATTATGTTTATATAATTTAGAAAAATTTTTGGAATTATGTGAAAAAATCAACCTAGTACTAAATTGGGAAAAATGTCAATTTATGGTTGTAGGAGAGATTGTACTTGGGCATAAAATTTCTGAAAATGGCATGGAAGTAGATTTTGCAAAAATTCAAGTTATTGAAAAATTACCACCTCCTACTATGGTTAGAGGGGTAAGAAGTTTTCTAGGACATGCTGGTTTCTCATGCGTTAAATAAAAAACTTTTCAAAAATAGCTATGCCATTATGCCAACTTTTAGAAAAAAATTCAAAATTTGATTTTAATGAGGAATGCATAAGAGCATTTGAACTGTTGAAAGAAAAATTAATCGATGAACATATAATAGTTCTACCTGATTGGGAGAAACCATTTGAAATAATGTGCGATGCGAGTGATTATGCTATTGGAGCTGTTTTAGGACAAAGGCCCAACAAAGTTTTTAAAGTAATATATGATGCTAGTAAAACTCTAAATGATGCTCAAATTAATTACACTACTACTGAAAGAGAGTTATTAGTTATTGTCTATGCCTTTGATAAATTTAGACCTTATTTGATTGGAACTAGATTTATAGTGCATACTGTTCATTATGCTATCAAATATTTGATACAAAATAAGGATGCTAAACCAAAATTAATTAAATGGATACTGCTATTACAACACTTTGATTTTATTGTAGTTGATAGAAAGGGAAATGATAATCAAATAGTTGATCATTTGTCCAGACTAGAAAAAGAATTATTAACTAGTTTTACAAATGAAATTTTGGAAAATTTCCATGATGAACTGTATAATATTGATGAAATGAATATACTGTGGTATGTCGATATAGTAAATTATGTTTTAAGTGATATTCTACCACCAAATATTAAGAATCAACAATTAAAAAAATTTATATATGATTCAAAATTCTATTTTTGGGATGACTATATTTATATAAACAATGTAAAAATCTAATTATTAGAAGGTGTGTGCTGTGTGAAGCAACTCAACAAATAATTGAAATATGTTATGATTCTAAATTTGGAGGACATTTTGGAACAAATAAAACTCTCTCTTTCCACTCCCTCATAGCCAATTTCTCTGTTTCTATCTCTCACTATTCTCTAGCTTGATCATTCAGTCTCCTTTACTCTTACCTTTCTCTCTTCCTCAAACTATTAACTCATTTGTCCCTCTTGATCTCTATCACTCTTACTCTCTTACTCTCTCAACCACTCTCTATCTCCTTGCTCCCTTGCTTATCGAACACCAGATATCTCTTTCTCTCTCTTGTGTTTGATGAGATGGGAGAGAGAGACTTGCTGATTGTGTGACAGGGAGGGATAGAAAAAAAGATAGAGAATGAAAAGAAATTAAGCGCTTACAAGAGAGAGTGTGTGAGATAGATAGCAATGGAGAGCTCTCTCTCAGTATCTCTCTCTCTTCTCCTCTCACTCGCTCTCTCTCACTCGATGGAAGAGAGTTGAAAGGGAAGGGGGCCAGGAGAGGAAGTAAGAGAGAGAGAGAGAGCTAGAGATAGAGTGAGTGGGAGAGAGGGTGGGAGAAGTAATGAGGGTGGGAGAAGTAATGAAGAAGAAGAAAAGAGAGGTAAGAGAGAGAGAGAGAAAAGAGAGGGTTAGAGTGGAAGATAGTTAATGTTAGAGAAAGAAAATTATAGAGAGAATTGAGCAAAAGAAGTTGAGAGACGAATGAGATAGAGAGCAAGAAAGTGAGAAGTGAGAGAGCGATAAAGCAAGTGATAGAGTGAGAAGTGAGAGAGCGATAAAGCAAGTGTGATAGAGGGAGTGAAGAGAGTGAGTGATAAGGGGTGAGAGAGATGTGAGAGAGTGCGAGAGAGCGAATCAGCAATAGAGAGAAGGGATAGAGTAAGAACGAGAAGAGAGTGCTATTTTGAGGAGAGAGAGAGCATGAGAGTTGGAGTGGGAGAAAGTTAAAGTAAGAGAGATAATAAGAGAAAGAGACAAATAGAGAGAGATAGAGAACAAGAGCAAGAGAGGAGAAAGAAAGAGAAGAGATTAGAAAACCAAACATTGAGAGAGAGAATAGTTAGAGCAAGAAAGAGTGAGAGTTGTAAAAGAGAGAAAATGTGAGAGACAGAGTGGGGCCAAAGAAAAGAAGAATGAGGGGAAGGGGGGGCTTTCGAAGGATATTCGCCATTGTGAACTCTATAAACCAACGGCTTTGAAGGCCAATCGATGATTGGCTGGCTTTTGTTTTTAGAGGATTTTGATGGGAGCTTCAACCAAACCAAATCGTTACATAAATAAAGCAAGAGAGAGTGAGGACTGCAGGGATTCAAGGTGAGAGAGTGGAAGGGAGAGAGTAAGTGAGAGCAAGTGAGAGAGAGAGAGAGCAAGAGAGAGAGAGTGAGGGTGAGATAATTGAAGGGAGGCTAAGAGGGAGTGAAGATGGAGAGTTAGATAATGAGTGGAGTAAGGGGAGAAAAGGGGAATGAGGGATAGAAAGAGAGAGAGAGTTAGAGAGAGAGAGAAATAGGGAGACAAAGGTTTTGTGAGAGAGACAAGTAAGAAATATAGCAAGAGAAAGAAACATGAGAGAAAAGAAGATTAGAGAGTGAGAAAGGGGTAGAGAGTTAAGTGAGAGAGTGAGATAGAATCAGAGAGCGATGGAGAGAGATGAAGGGAGAGAGTTAGAGAGAGTGAAATTGAAAAAAAGGAAGGTGCTAGTGAAACAGAGAGTATGAGAGCCACAATGAGAGGGAGAAAGTGAGATAGGAAAGACAAGGATGTAGATAGATAAAGTAAGACAAGAGTGATAGAGGAACAATAAGAGGGTATATCTGTCTGTCACTCTCCTCACTTACTCCCTCTATCTTCTTGACCTTCTATCTCATACTCTTCTTCTCTCTCACCCTCACTCTCTTTAATGCTTCTCTTTCCCACTCCATCATTATTTCTATTGCTCTTTTCTCTCTCTCTCTCTATTTCTCTATTGCTCCATTTGTTACTCTCTCTCTCTCTACTTAATCATTCACACACTCCCTCTCACTATCTTTTTCTTGATCTCTCCAACCCTCTTTTCCCTCTATCTACCTCATTCCCATCGCTCATCTCTCTCCCATTCCTTCAACCTCGTCCTCACTCTCTCTACCTCTCTCTTTCTTCCACACACCTCTCTCTACCTCCTTCTCTCTCTCTCTCTTTCTCTCTCTTTCTCTTCTCCCTCTGCATCTATCCAACATTTTCTCTCTAAAACACACATTCTCCTTTCTTTCTTTCTTTTGCTCATCTCTTTGTCCCTCTCTAGCTCTTTCTCACTTTCTTCTCACTAAGTTGCTCTTTCCTTCCCTTCTCTTCTCTTGGTCCCTCTATCTCACCCTCACTCATTCCATCTTTCTCCCCTCCTCTCCTCAACCTATCCCTCTTTCTTTCTTTAAAGGTAGAATGCACGAAGAGAGAGACAAGAGATAGAGAGAGTGAGAGAGGGATGAGCGAGCGAGAGAAATAGAGAGAATGAGAGAGAATAAGAGAAAGAAATTGTGATAGAGAGAAGAGACAGACAGAGAAGAAGGAGAATTATAATAGAGAGCACAAGAGACATGGAGAGTGAGCTAAGAGGAAGAATGTGAGATAGAATGTGAGATAGGGAGATAGGAGATAGAGAAGGGAATGCAGAGAGAGATAACAAGAGTGAGGGAAAGTGAGAGAGAATGAGTGAAAGAGAGAGAGAAAATTAAGTGATAGTAAGGGAGGGAGAGGGATAGCCACCATCCCTTCCACTCGCTCACCCTTATAATGAGAATGAGAGAGTAAAAAGTGTACTTGAGAGTGAGATGGGGGAGTGAGAGATGGAGGAGCAAGACAAAGAGAGAGAGGAAGAGAAGAATAAGAGAGAGAGAAGAGTAAGTATGCCAGAGAGAGGGACGGTAGCAGGAGAGAGGAGGGAAAAAGAGAACAAATGAGAGAGAACTTGAGGGGGAGAGAGTGAGTCAGAGAGAGGATGAGAGATAAAAATTGCAAAAGAGAGATTAATTATCGAGGCGAAGATTAGGAGGAAGAGAGAGACGAGGGTAAGAAAGAGATAAAGTAGGGAAATAATAGAAATGATGAGTGGTAGGGAGTGAGCAAGAAAAAAAAGAAAGATAGTGAGAGAGAAAAAGAGCTATAGGAAGAGAGAGAGAGGATGAAATGAGAGATAGAGGGAGAAAGAGGGATGGAGAATGAGATAAAGTAAGATAGAGAAAGAGAGTTTTAAAGAGATAGAGCGAGAGAACCAAGAAGGAGAAAGATCGGGGATGGTGAGAGAAAGCGAGATAGAGTGAGAGAAAGCTGAGATTAATTATCGAGGCAAAGATTAGGAGGAAGAGAGAGACAATGGTAAGAAAGAGATAAAGTAGGGAAATAATAGAAATGATGAGTGGTAGGGAGTGAGCAAGAAAAAAAAGAAAGATAGTGAGAGAAAAGAGAAAAAGAGCTAGATGAAGAGGGAGAGAATGAAGAGAGAGAGAGAGAGAGAAAGAGGGATGGAGAATGAGAGAAAGCAAGACAGAGAAAGAGAGTTATAGATAGAAAGAGCGAGAGAACCAAGAAGGAGAGAGATGGGGATGGTGAGAGAAAGCATTTTTAAGAGATAGAGAATAGAGTGGAAGGGAGCGAGGCAGGGAGTATGATAGAGAATGTGTGAAAGTGGGAGTGAATGAGAAAAGATGCTCTATAGAGGGAGGGAAGAGAGTGAGAATGAGAGAGAAGGAAAGAGAAGGAAAAAATCTCTCTACCTCTCTTTGTGGTTCTCCTCTCTTCTTGACAACTCTCCTACCTCTCCCTCCCTCCCCCTCCCTTCTTTTTATTCTCATTCACTCTTTCACTCTCTCCCTCTTCCTTACTCTTGATATCTCTCTCCTTCCCCTTCATTCTCTCCCTCTCCATCTTTCACTCTCTTCACCTCATTATCTCTCATTCCCTCATTAATGATCTCTCTTTGGCTCTACATCTCTCTCTCTCTCTTTCATACACTACTTCACTACTCACTCTTTC